AAAAGAACAGCAAAAAAAAGGGTCAAATATCTTGATAAAAATTATTTTGGAAAATCATTGTCAGAAAATGGGATGAGCGAAAAAAATTAAACAAAATAAGAAGAAGAAGAAGAATACAGGAAAAAAAAACATGAGGCAAGCGCATACAAAATTAGACACGCTGTGTACATAAGTGCACCTAACAGTGTATAAATATATACTAGCTACCACATAAACATAGGTGTTTGCTGTTACTTTCCTGTTTTTCTCTTTCGATCAATTCTATTGCCTTTCCCTCTGTACCCTCACTCTTTTCCTATCGCGCCAAATCTCTCTGCACTGAAGACACACAGGACGTCTTCCCCACCATAAATCCTATAACCCTTTCCTCTATATTCCATATCTCATTTCCCTAATACCCAAACCGATAAAGACGAAACGGCTAACACATTCATACCAATCCCAATTTTTGAATCTAAGTTTATTTTCACGACGTTTCACACAGCGAATAATCAGAGATCGAATTTTTACTAATAATACCATCTACAGCAGGATTCGCACCAGCTATAAAAAGAAGCTTTGGTGAGTCTTTCCCGTGTGTCTCTGTTTATTTCTCGCACTGCTGATGAAGAACAAAGATGTGCCGGAAAATTCCGGACTTAAAACCTTAATTTCCATGATTCATTTCTGTCTTGTGGCTAATAATTGTAAATGCTTTTTTGTACTGATCCCAATGGCATCCTTTTTAGTTTACCCTTGTTTTATTAACCAACCCATCTATTTTACACACACTTCACTCACAAATAAATACACACACACACATATATATATATATATATATATATATATATATATATATATATATATATATATATATATATATATATATATATATATGTGTGTGTGTGTGCTGTGTGTAATTATTGCAATAACAGACGCTTTTGCTAGACATGTGTACACAGCCCACTTTTCCCAAAGTCTTAATTTTTTTTTCGGACGTAACCGATTTTGACTCTCCATCTATTCAGTTTCTTTGACATAGCCTCTTGGGAAATATAGTGTCTCCTCTACGGTTTTGTATTCGTTGTAGTCTTTCGCATAGCCACCAAAGGCTAGAGAGCTAGTGGAGGAGAAGGGATGAATTCCTGCCCTCCCAAAAGGCCTTTCTGCGGAAGCGACTAGGCGCTAATTTGAATTCGATTAGCCAATAACACTTTCCGATCCGACAGCCTTACGCTACCAGGATTCACGAGACTAAATCCATCAAATCGCATTTATAATGGGCTTTCACTTCGCGTAAACTAGCCTGGAACATGGTCATAATTGCAGACCCCCCCGGTGAAGACTGTTTCGAAGAACAGTATGGTAAACGCTGCTCCGCGGTAACTTATGATATTTTGATTTGTCTAGCAGAATGCCAATCTTCTGATGCTCTTTTCTTCGTGTATGTTTTTTTTTTTATCATTTCATTCCAAGTAAGGCAATAAAACCACTAGGAACCAAAGGTTTAGTGAGATTATCAGAAAATGTTATTTCAAAAAAAGATTAGAGGGGAAACAATAAAAGAACAAGAATTAAGAAAACAGAGGATAACGACTGACGTTGCATTTAATCGTTATAAGACCAGAGTTTACCGGAAAGCAAAGGGATGGATGAGAGTTCCACAAGGAAAAATTGGAGGAAAAGAAACTATATCTAGCCATTTCAACTGTAAAATGATGAGAACTTTCCGCTAATTCATATTTATAGTAAAAGTCTAGGTAATATAAGGGGAAGTAATAATGACTCAGAATAATACTGTAATGTGTCACAAGGCCAAAAATAGAGCTGGTTGGCTGGTCTTCAGTCTGTTTATTTTAAACTTAGCTAGCCACGTTTACTGACCCAAACATACGACAATATTCCTTACACCAAAACAACACATTTTTACTTACTATGCTTACTACAGCCACCATAATACTTCAAAGTCTCTATGAAGTCGTAAGTAGTTCCCATATGTACATTAAAGGAAAGTTTATCAGAACCATTACTATGAAAATATTTATAGGAAAGGCACAAGATTAAAAAAAGGTAAAAAAATATCCTCTCGATATGAATCAATGTAAATAACATAGCCGTCGAAATCCACAAAAAATAGATAAATAGATAAAATAGAACCCATAGAAAAAGATAAAAGTTATGAAAATAAAATTGTTTTTCTCCTTAATGCGCAGAGGAAGTCTTGTAATCGTTCCATGTGTCTTTTGTGGCAATCGTCTAAGCAGAAAATATCGTACCAAATAATATTCACGTTTTCGTGACTCTAATATTAATCGTTTAACAAAATCTCTTTCATTTCTTACCAATATCTTATCAATTATTTTGCTATTATTTCAACTTCATTTCTACAACTTTATTATCATATATGTATTTATTAAAAAAAAAAAACAATATAAAGGATTGATGTGAACAAAGGAAATCTTCCTCCAGTCAAATATCATTTTATCAAAAGTTATTCTTTATACTAAATTTGTCTTGCCAGTTGTTTTGATATCTTTTTTGATGCAATAGTTGGTTCTTGGCTTCTGAAATTTAATTTGTTTTGTATCGATATGACGAAATGTGACACAAAATTCTGAAGGTGCATAATTTATTTGTCTTGAATAGCAATAGACTCCTCCCCTTCTTTACGGGGTAAAATCTAATAAACAAAGAAATATATATATATATATATATATATATATATATATATATATATATATATATATATATCGTATATTATTATTATTATATATTATTAATTTTATTATTATTATTATTATTATTATTATTATTATTATTTATACAAATCTTATAAGTATAAGAAACTATACTCGCTGGGAAAACCTTCGGTGTATTGATTTGCAAATAAACATGCCAATTCCAAATGGCAAAAAAGGTATAAAAAAGAAAGAACCAAGAACATGTAAGTTAGCCGAAAATAATTGTCCATCATACGAGTTCACAGCCGAAAGAAAAAAACCCTGATGCGAGTACCCAAAACAACTAAATAAATACAATGAGTAGAGCAGACCTAGTTAAACCTAGAGAATCAGACAAACCTACCATGGTTCACCTAAGTCGGCTTTCCCTGACGATCCGCTTACATGAAACCTTGGTAGGTTTTTCTATATATATATATATATTTATATATATATATATATATATATATATATAATTTGTTAGAAACAATGAAAAGTGTTCTTAACTGCTATGTCATATCTAACCGCCAATATCACAGTGAATTTTAGGCTGTCTTCTTTCAAACGAAGAAAAGACTGGAAGATACCAAGAACTGAACAGCTGAGCAACGAAGATGTTTTGAAGAAAATGGGAGCTAAAAATGTGACTCATATTAAAAAAATCACAAGAGAGACATTTGAAATTTCCCTGACACATTATGAGGAAAGAGAGATTGGTAAATTGAATACTCACATGATATAGTAAAGAATGGCAGAGAAGAAAACAGCGAGTAACCTAGCGAATGAGGAACAAAAAAGTATATGAAAATTTTCAAATAGAGAAATTTGGTAGAGCCCTGATCAGCCCTCTTCTGAATATATATACCTCATATATATATATATATATATATATATATATATATATATATATATATATATATATATATGTGTATATGAGCGGGTATCGATAGAGCCAAAAGAGGAATTGGTGAGTCGATTCCAAATGCCTTCCTCGTGTGTTTCATTAACTTAACAAAATTTTCATTGGAAACGGTGTTAATTCATGTTTCCTCACCTACCCCAGGCATTATATATATCATTAAAAAAGAAAAAAAGTAGACAATAATAAAAACAGAGCTCCCTTGCCTTTGATGGTATTTAGTTTCGGAAAAAGTCTATACAGAATCAAAATACGTGGACAAGTAACAGAAAGTTCTCAAGACGTTCTGGCATTTCACAGATTATAAAAAAAAGAAATCTGTGAATCAATCATAATTGACTACGTACTAAAAATACAAAGCATTTGTTTTTAATTATTTCTTTTTTTGTCTCTCCAGAATCTTGCATATCTATTCGTCCATACTTAAAATATTGCTGCTACATATTATCCCGTGCCTGTGCTATTTACCTTAAGCTCCTTGATAAAATCCATAGAAGAATCAGCAATATTATTGGTCCTGATCTGGTAGCTCGATATCAGTCACTTTTTCACCGACGTAAGTGTAAGTGTAGTGTCTTTTCTAGAAATAATTTAATGGTAATTGTTCAGATGCTCGCTTTGATGTGGTACCTAGACTTTTTGAATTTAGGTGTAACACCAGACTGGCGTCAAGATCTCATCAACTTGCAATTGGGCTTGCTAGATATAGACGAAAATTCTATGCTGTTTTGTCTCGCACTTCTCGCTTGTGAAACTCCATTCCAGCTCCATGCTTTCTAGTTAAAAATTAAATGCAATGTCATTCTCTGATTACTGTCCTCCAGTTTACTCTTTTTTTCTTCCAGCTCATCATTATTAATGTTTCTGTGCCCAATTCTTCCACACCCTGTAACCCCTTGTCTCTTGGTGGCTTTACTGCCTTGCGTGCGATGATACTGATTAAAATAAAATTTCTACAGCAATAGTTATTGTTCAATATTAAACTAGAATTAGTTATTGTCCTACATTAAAATAAAAATAAAAACACTAGATTTATTGATAATAAAACGGTTCGATACAGTTATTTATTAATCTTGGCTTGGTTATCGAAAAACCCGTCAACCTTGAGACTTGTTCGCATTAATCAGTGACAATGATATACGAGGCCAGATTATTAACCATTCCACAAGGAACTTTTTTCATTTGAGTTCTATCTTTAAATTTTTATAATAATTCTACGCTATTTAGAAATCTAAGTGGAGCCTCATTTTATAAGCTGTAGCTCTCATTTCGAAAAGAAAAAAAACGATTAGAATTATGCATATCTTTAAGAAAGTAAAAAGACAATATATGAAAAAATAACGTAATAAGAAGCTAATTGCGTAGTTAAGCAAATTAAATTAATGAATTTTTACACTTTATTTGTTGTTCCTTTCTTTTTTTTCTATCGCCCTTCCTTTCTTGCGATATTCTTCCAAATTCCTTCCGTCCTTTTATTCTTACTTTCATTCTTTCTTGTGAGTTTATTCCTTATTTCCTTTCTTTTTTCATTCCTGTGTCTCTCTTCCTTTCATGTGGCTTTCTTTCGTCTTTCTTTCTTTCTTTCTTTCTTTCTTTCTTTCTTTCTTTCTTTCTTTCTTTCGTTCTGTCTTTCTTGTCCTTATTCTATATTTCTTTCTTTCCCGTGTCTTTCTTTCTTTCTTTCCCGTGTCTTTCTTTCTTTCTTTCTTTCTTTCTTTCTTTCTTTCTTTCTTTCTTTCCCGTGTCTTTCTTTCTTTCTTTCTTTCTTTCTTTCTTTCTTTCTTTCTTTCTTTCTTTCTTTCTTTCTTTCTTTAATCTTTCGTTCTGTCTTTCTTGTCCTTATTCTATATTTCTTTCTTTCCCGTGTCTTTCAATATTTATTTCTTGTGCCTTTCTTTCTTTAGTATTTCATTCTGTCTTTCACGTTTTTTTTACTTTCTTCCTTAATTTTTCTTTCTTTCTTTCTTTCTTTCTTTTTTTCTTTCTTTCTTTCTTTCTTTCTTTCTTTCTTTCTTTCTTTAATCTTTCGTTCTGTCTTTCTTGTCCTTATTGTGTATTTCTTTCTTTCCCGTGTCTTTCTTTCTTTCTTTCCCGTGTCTTTCTTTCTTTCTTTCCCGTGTCTTTCTTTCTTTCTTTCTTTCTTTCTTTCTTTCTTTCCCGTGTCTTTTTTTTCTTTCTTTCTTTCTTTCTTTAATCTTTCGTTCTGTCTTTCTTGTCCTTATTGTGTATTTCTTTCTTTCCCGTGTCTTTCTTTCTTTCTTTCCCGTGTCTTTTTTCTTTCTTTCTTTCTTTTTCTTTCTTTCTTTCTTTTCTTTAATCTTTTCGTTCTGTCTTTTCTTGTCCTTATTGTGTACTTCTTTCTTTCCCGTGTCTTTCTTTCTTTCTTTTCCCGTGTCTTTTCTTTCCCGTGTCTTTCTTTTCTTTCTTTCTTTTCTTTCTTTCTTTCTTTCTTTCTTTCTTTCTGTTTCTCGTCTTTGTGTAGATTTTCTGTCATATGCTCGTTCCTTTTCGGAATTCTGTTTTCGATTTTATTATTTCACGTCGTGCGATCTTTTCGTTGAAATGCCATAGCGTTTGGGCGTTTAAATATTTTATTGCCAACTTTGAGTCACTGACATGGAAACGAATAGAAAAACGCAAAAATTATGAAGAAAAAAACTTCTGCATTTCGTAACTAACCCATTCAATGGCGACCTTTCCGCGTTGCTAGTCAGCGTGTCTTGCAAGGCTGCCTTCCAAATTATCAATTCTTTAGTCACGTGACTTTACGTAAGCATATACGTCATGCCCACAGGGTGGGCATTAATTCCAACTGAACTAAAAGAGCCTTTCTAAAGTTTACAATCCAGAAAAGTGATTCTTGGACAAATCAAATTTTAAATTTTAGCAGAAAATAACGTATATTCGTTTTCTGTTTTGAAATTTTTTTTAAAATTTTAATCAAGTTTTATTGCATTATGGCTCACAGAAATTAGAGAGAAAGTTTAAAAGCTTGAATTTATTTTTAGTCAGTATCAACCTATGGAAGAAAGCGAAGCCGCTAAGATAAAAGGTGTGGAATAATTAGGAACAGAAACATTAATTATGAGTAATCAGGAGAAAAGTATAACGTGTGAAATTTTTGCAGATCAAAGTTGGCTGGAAAGCAAGGAACCGGAAGTTGGATCGCACAAGCGAGAAGTGCGAGAAAAGAATCTGTTAGCATAGAATTTACGGCTACATCTAGCCAGCCCAACTGTAAATCGATGAGATCGGAATGCCAGTCTAGTACTACGCCAAAATTCAAAAAGTCTAGGTACCATAGCGATTGAAGCCGAGGTACCAGGTCAGGACCAATAAAATTGTTGATTCTTCTTTGGATTTTATCAAGGAGTCACAGGCAAATAGCAGGAGCATCGGACTATTTGTGGCTGAAATATTCTAAACATGAACAAATGATAGACTTATAGATATCTAAGATTCTGGAGAGAAATATTATCTCGCTCGTCATAGTGACCTATCAATGGATTCAATATAGTCTTTCCATTTCATGTCAGCCGAGAACGTTAGCCTGAGAAGGTGCAATGAGCCACTCTCCTGGAGGTCAGCATCAGCCATGCTGGTGGATGTCAGAGAGGGCTCTCTCAGAATATTGATGGAGATAAGTTTAGTTTCGGAGGCGTTGAAAGTAACAAGCCATCTTTTGTTCCATTTAACAACGGACGAGTTCGTTTTGGACTTCTTCTATTTTTGACCTTATCAGAGGGATCAGCTTTACTATCAATGCAGGAGTAAATGTTTGTGCCTCAGACCTTGCAAAAAGCTAAAAGCCATGCTCGCCCACCTTCTGAATAGGAACGACACATAAAAAAGCATACCTTCCAATCTACTAATGTGTCAAAACAATGTTTCACGGGAAACGGGCAAATATCAATCGAGGTAACCAAAAGACTGTTACCGCCATAGTCATCCTTGACAAATACTGATAATATATTAGTGATGAATAAAATTATTGCTGTTATTTCCGCCATTGATATTTGCATCGATATTTATTTACTTCTTCTCTTAATCAGCTGTGCACATATTGTTAAATTTTCTATCGTTATTCTCAATTCTCTGCGCAATTATGCGCTTGCATCTGGCTTTATCTTATAATGACGTCTAGCTCATAACTCGTTTCGAACTTCCGGTTGATAGGCCTTACCACGATAACTGTAAAACATCTCATTGTTTTTATGTTTCAGTAGAACTGATGCTAGATGTTTCTCGCTCTGTGAAATAGTGAGGCGAATTGTCGAATGCAAGCTTTCTCGTTACACATTTCCCACCGGCTATAGTGGTCGGTGTTCAAGCCCAAGTAAGACAAATTTCAAACGTTACTTTTTTTTTTAACTGATACGGTACAATATGCTTAATTTCAATTCCATCTATTTTTAAATAAATATTCGTTTTGCAGTACGCATTATAATAATGACTGCTTTTCTGTATGTTTATGTTTCTATAAGTTTGTAACCGTATTAAAGCAAAAACGGGGCAGTATAAATTTCAGTTACCATAATATATATATATATATATATATATATATATATATATATATATATATATATATATATATATATATATATATATATATACATACATTAAAAATGGACAAATTCCGACAATTTATTAAAGACATATATATATATATATATATATATATATATATATATATATATATATATATATATATTTAAACATACATACATACATACATACATACATACATACATACATACATACATACATACATACATACATACATACATACATACATACATACATACATACATACATACATACATACATACATACATACATAGGGGGCGGGGGGAGAGGCATGGTGGAGTAATGAATAGCGACTTGGATTGAGGAATCGGAGAGCCGAGTTCGAATTCCAGTCGAATCCATTACATTCACTTACGTGCTATTAACCTTGGGAAAGGTATGAATCCCCTTCTTCTCCCTCCAGCTATAGATAAATAGCAGGACAGACTGGGTTCTATAGCCTTGCATGGCAACTGGTCTTGGAGAAGGAAAAATCTGAATTCAAAACCTGCGAAGCGTCGTTTGGGAATCTTGTGGCACTTAGTGCACCAGGTCTCTGTATTCGGCCCTTCAAAAGGTGTGGCTGGTCCTGCACGAAACGTTCACCATTATAACCAAATCTCATGTGCCGTTGTCGGGCTGTCGGTTTCTTGGGAACTGATCTGCTTGACGCTCTTACGTCGAATTCGACGGGAGAGTCGACTATATAGAGGCAACAGATTATTATTCAAACATATATTGTTAAATATAACAAACAACGAATGTCTATTATGTTTTCTCATGAGCCTTTCCAAGAGTCGTATCATGAGTTTAGTTTCAAGATAAAATAAAGACAAAAACTGTCCAACATTTGGATATTTCTTTATTATATTGGTCTTCGATCTAAGCTTTCAGCTCAGAGAAGCAAACTTCTATGTAAACAAAACAGTGATCATCTCAGCTGTAATGCTCATATAACCACTCTGATAATGGTTCATGTGAGCTGAAAGCTTAGATGGCTGACCTTTATAATAAAGAAATAACCAAATATTTAACAGTTTTTCTTGATTTCTCTTGAAACTAAAGCCACCATTGTTTTCTATAATGTCTGTTATACAATTAACATATATTTATATATATATATATATATATATATATATATATATATATATAATCATTTCACCCCAAGCAAGACAGAATTGCTACTAATACGCAGGGGGTTACAGAGAGTGAAAGTGAGAGATAATACGGTTTATAGAGGGGGATTGAGAAAGGATAAAGATGAACGGGGCTCGAGTCAACAGAAGATGGCAGTTGACGTTGCATTTAAGTTTTTGAAGATATGTAGTTATCAGGGAAGCAAGTAAGCGGAAATGAAGTGCGACAAAAGGGACTGCTGGAGTAGAAGTGGCGGTTACGTGTTACTATTTTAAGAGTAAATGGGTGGGACCTAGATGCCAATCTAGTATCATGCTTAAATTCATGTAGTCAGGGCACCAGGGAAAAAAGTTCCCCAGAGCAGTTACCGTGAAAAGGCAGAGAGAAGCCGCATCACGTCAGTGAGAATGTGATTGAAGTTCAGATGCCAAGTCAGGATCGATTACATTGCAGATTCTTCCTTGACAAAAACCTCGAAATGAACAGCAGGAGAACCAGACCAGATATGCCAACAGTATTCAATGCATGGAATATATATATATATATATATATATATATATATATATATATATATATATATATATATTTAAGTTATGAAGAATTTGGTAAACCGAATTGGTAAATCCAAGGAGGATGAAATCCTGAGAGCTCAATGTGAAGAACAGAGATAATATTTAATGAACAACAGCCACTTTAAGGTACCATTACAATAATTTATTTCAAATTATTTATGAAATAAATTATTGTAATGATAACTTAAAGTGTCTGTTGTTCATTATATATATATATATATATATATATATATATATATATATATATATATATATTAGCGCGATAAAATAAATTAACGAAGCAAATTTCAGTCGAATCGGACCACAAATTCCCAAAGATTTCTCAATTACGTATAAATACATTTCTGTCCAAGGGAGGTAACTCCAATGATATAAAAAAAGATAATTTCTGATAGTGATGAAATGTCACATACACTTACTTTTCAAATAGACAGCGTGGTTTTAGTAAAATGCATTGCTGGATTTTTTTATATCATTTTATAATTTTCAGGAATTAAATTGATCGGTTATTTATTAATCATTTAATACACGTGGTGGTTGAAATGAGGATGTCAAGTGTGAATTTTTTCTTCCAAGAAATAATCGTCCAGGCCCGCTGTTTGCAACTGCAGGAATGTTGTCGAGCATCTAGCTAGGACCAACCTCCTGTGCGACGAGTAGTATGCGTTTCTATCGGCCCGATCCACTGCTACTTTCCTAACTACCAGTACACATAGACTTAGCGAGGCTCTTGACAATAAACACACATTGAGGACTATAGTATTAAATGTTTCGAAGGCTTTTGACAAGGTGTTGAACAAAGGTTTGCTACACAAGCTTACCAGCTATGGAATCCCTAGAAGCGTCTTCTCAATTATAAAATCATTCCTAACAGGTAAATCACTGAAGGTAGTTATTAATGGCCAGTCCTCCGAGGCCCTGGCAGTCAACGCAGGAATCTCCCAGGGGTCACTTCTCAGACCAAAACTCTTTCTGTTTTACATAAATGACCTGCATAGGAATATACTCAGAAGATTTCTAAACATCTGTGCCGATGACATGCCAATATGATGGTGTACCTTGAAAGCTCTTGACGAACAGATATTGGCAGATGACCTCTCTTAGGAACTAGCAGTAGTTTCCCAGTGGAAAAAAACTGGCTGGTTAAATTCAGTGCCTCGAAAACCAAACTAGTTACCTTCCATCACTACTGATCAGACCCGAACTACCGCAAGTTACGATGAACTCTTTTCCCCTCGATGAGGTACCGTGGCCTTGGAAAATACTGGGCCTCAAACTCACACATC